GTAATGGGTAGGTAGTGAGGATGGGGAGATAATGCTGAGAGATGAGACAGGACATGCAGGTCTGGGCAACAATGAAAAGGTAAGCATTTTATGCTCAGGAATTTTGATATCATTTGCTAGGTAAAAGGCAGTCAATAAAAGTTTTTATTTTTCAGAAATAAATTCTGATAGCTCTGTGGAATTGCTGAGGCTAAAGAAGAGAGAACTGACTAGGAAGTTACTATAATAGTTTAGGTAAGGCTGAAGAATTCAGAGAATGGCTAGGGGAATAGAAAGGCTAAGAGAGATTAACAGAAAAGTTTATGAAATTAAAATTATCTTTGGTTTAGTTTTAGATTTACTCAGGACTTTTCTCTTTTGGAGGAACTGAAGAGTTGGGCAAGTCTGTATGAATTATTAACAATTATCTGAAAGCAAAACTACAAAAATAGGTGAGCAGGTAAAATGTTGGTAATGTTCACTAGGACAAGCACTTTGTAAAATAATTTGATATTATCCACTAAAGTTAAAAGTTTACATATTCTCTCTATATAGCTTTGATACACAGCATTAAGAAAGGCATAAGTGAAGCTCCTACTAGGCTGAACAATTCGATAAGAGATGCCATCACTAATCAAGACTAAAGATATAAAAAGAAAAAATTTGGATAAAATAGGAACATATATAATTTGAAAGTCTGTTTCTTTTTTTGACAGAGAGAGAGAGAAGAGCGCACGCACATGCACAAGCAGGAGGAGAAGCACACAGAGGAAGATAGAGAAGCAGACTCCCTGCTAAGCAGAGAGCCTGACATGGGGCTCGATCCCAGAACCCTGAGATCATGACCTGAGCTGAAGACAGATGTTTAACCAACTGAGCCATCCTGGCACTCTGGAACACATATAATTTTAGACATGTTGAATTTGACATGCCTGTGCAACTTCTAGGTGGAGTGGTCTATTGTCCATTAAAACTACTGGTATACTCATCAAAAGACACAGTATGTTAAAAAGCAACAAAAGACAAGAGTAGAAATAGATATTTGCAAAACATAACATCAATAAATAAAGAACTATATATCCAAAGATAAAGACAGAAACTTAATAGAAAATATATATACAAAAAGACTTCAGCAGGCCTTTACAAAAGAAGAAATTGAAATGGCCAGCCTCATTAGTAATCAGGTAAATGGAAATTAAAACCACAATGAAATATCACTGCATACCCACCAGAAAGGCACAAGTTAAAACATCTGACACCACCAAGTGTTGAGGAGAATATGGAACAAGCAAGAACTTTCATATGTTGTTCCTGGGAGTTTAAACTGGTACAAGCACTTTGGAAAATAAAGTTGAAAATTTGCATGCTCTGTGACACAACCATTCCACACTAGAGAAATATATACATGTGGTCAGTATAGTGCATAAGATTGCTCATAAATACAGCACTGTTCAAAACAGTCCTATACTGGAAAATCCCAAATGACTGATAATATTAGAGTGGATAGAGTGGATACGTTGTGATTATTCATAAAATGGACCATATACAACAATAAAAATGCTTACTCTTACTAAAATAATGTTGAATAAAGGAGAGCCAAAAAATATTTAAGAATACTCCATTCAAAATCAGAAACAGGGGACGCCTGGGTGGCTCAGCAGTTGAGCGCCTGCCTTCAGCTCAGGGTGTGATCCTGGAGTCCCGGGATCGAGTCCCACATTGGGCTCCCTGCATGGAGCCTGCTTCTCCCTCTGCCTGTGTCTCTGCTCCTCTCTCCCTCTCTCTCGCTCTGTGTCTCTCATGAATAAATAAATAAAATCTTTAAAAAAAATCAGAAAAAGGGAAAACTAAACTGTACAGATCAGAGAGGCATACAAAGATAACACAATTCTAAGGAAAAGTAAAGGAATGATTATCACAAAACTTAGGATAAAGGAGTGAGGTGTGACTGGGTAGACTTCTGGGGCACAGGAAATATTCTGTATCTTGACCTGAGCAGTGATTATATGGGTAATATGTTTACCCATATTATAATGTAGCCTTTTATTATGAACTTCTTGGTATATTGTGCTAATAATTTTTAAAATAATTTAAAAAGATTTTAAAACTATTGTTTGGGGGAAACATACTAGGGTTGGAGTTACATAAGGATTTGTTGTTGTACAGATGGCTCCTAAGCCATGTAACTGAGACCCTTCATTTAAATTCAAAAGCCAAGAACTTGGATTCTCAGGGGAATACAATCAGAAATGATAAGACTGAAAACAATAAGGAAGAAGAGAGGCAAAAGTGAGTGGTGAACAGAAAGCCATGGGAGGAGAGAACATAAAGAGCATGACTACTCAGCAATGACAAATAAGATAAACTCAAGCAGGATAAATACCAAAAAAACTCCAATGAATTTAGCAATAAGGATTCTAGTGATTATTTAATCAAGAGCCATTTGATGCCAACATATTCCTGACAGTAAAAATTCCATGCATTTTCTATTTTCAGAAATGATGGAACATGTTATACTTCGTTTTAAACAAAACATGCAGCGTATCAGGCTCTTCTCTTTAATAACTATTTCAGAATAAATAAAACAGTGATATACATCTTACTGTTTGTGACTAAGATGTACAGAATTTTAAGAATATCTAATTATAAGATATCTTAGAAGGAATCTTTTAAAAAGATTTATTTATTTGAGAGCGCGCGCACAGAGGGAGAGGGACAGACTTCTCCTTGAGCAAGGAGCCCGATGGGGGACTCAATCTCAGTACCCTGGGATCATGACCTGAGCAGAAGGCAGATGCTTAAGAGACTGAGCCACCCAGGCACCCCTATAGTTTTCTTGATATCAGAAAACTACAGGCTTAAACTAGAATTGCATATGATAGCATGATATAATCGCTGATTACAAATATATCATGCAGCAATACCTACCTATCTGAAGTTTTTCTGAATATGTGCTACTTTACAGGGAATATTACAAAAAGAACATAAAGGCTATATTTTTTATAAACTTACACAAATCACAGTGTGTTATGATTACTTTTGACCCAGATCAAAAGATGAGGCTATAATATATATCAGTCTTAGAAATGAACCAAATTTTAAATTGAAACTTTAATTCAAAGGATATTTCAAGTGGGAAGAAAATTCTAGATGTTGCAACAAAAACTGTATTATGGCTTGGAATAGAATATGAGACATTTTGGAAGAAATAAGATTTCAAACATAATGTTTTTCCCATATTAGAAATTTACTACTTTATTAAAGATTTTATTTATTTATTTATTCATAAGGGGGGGGGGGCAGAGACACAGGCAGAGGGAGAAGCAGGCTCCATGCAGGGAGCCCGACATTGGACTCAATCGTGGGTCTCCAGGATCACACCCTGGGCTGAAGGCGGTGCTAAACTGCTGAGCCACTCGGGCTGCCCCCAAATTTACTACTTTATGTTGTACAATAAGAAATAGGACATATAACAACAAAATGGTTAATTCTGAATGTTTTGAAAATTGCTTTGGCAATGTACAAATATGGTAAACTATCACTCAAAAATGGACTTAGAGTAGAGGCAACAAAAGGAAAAGAGGTAAGTTGGACTTCAACAAAAATAAAAACTTTCATGCATCAATGAGACACTTGATGGGATGAGCACTGGGTGTTTTACTATATGCTGACAAATTGAATTTAAATAAAATAATATAAACAAAATAAACCTTTCATGCATCAAAAAACAAAACAAAACAAAAAGGCAACCCGCCAAAAGGAAAAAAACTATTTGCCAACTATCTATCTGATAAGGGACTGACACCAAGAATATGTAAGGAGCTTCTACAACTCAACAACTACCTGATTAAAAACTAAGCAAAGAAGTCACATAGACATTTCTTTAAAGAAGACATACAAACAGCAAGTAAGCAAATGAAAAGATGATCAACATCACTAACCATTAGTGAAATGCTAATTAAAACCAAAATGAGCTACCACTTCACACTGATTAGGATGACTACTATAGAAAAACAATCAACAATCAAAAACCCCAGGAAATTAACAATTGTTGGTGTATTGGCTCTTGTGTATTGGCTAGCAAGAAGGTAAAATGGTGCAGCTGCTGTGAAAAATAGTACAGCAATTCCTCAAATAATTAAACACAGAATTACCACATGATCTATCAATCCCACTTCTGGGTAAATCCCAAAGAAATGAAAGCAGGGATTCAAAGAGATTGCACAACTATGTTCAGAGCAGCATTATTCACAATAGCCAAAATGCGGAAGCAGCCAAAGTATTCACCTATGGATAAATTAACCAAAAGTGGTGAATATATATAATATGGAATATTATTCAGTCAAAAAGGAAGGAAATTTTTTCGCATATTACAACATGGGTAAACCTTGATGACATTACGCTAAGTGAAAAGAGCCAGTCATAAAAAGACAAATACTAGGGCACCTGGGTGGCTCAATCAGGGGGCCAACTCTTGATCCTGGCTCAGGTCATGATCTCAGGGTCCTGGGACTGAGCCCTGTGGTTGGTTGGTGGGTCAGGAGAGTCAGCTTCCCCCCTCTCTCTCTCCCTCTGCCCCTCCCCACTCCTTGTGCATTCTCTTTCTTTAAAATGAATAAATAAATCTTAAAAAAAAAAAAGACAAATACCATATCATTTTACTTATATGAGGTAACTAGAAGTAGTCTAATTCAGAGATAAAAAGTGGAATGGTGGTTTCCAGTGGTTCGGGAAGATGGGCATGAGGTGATACTCAAGAAGCAGACTTTCATTTTTGCAAGATGAAAGAAGTTCTGGAGACTTTTACATCAATTTGAATGTCACAGAACTGTAAACTTTAAAATGGTCAATTTTATGCTGTATTTTACCACAATAAAAAAAAGGACTTGGAAATGAGTATGTGTTGAAAATAGAATCACAGTCATCAGGAGGAAGATATAAATAAATCACTCTTCAGGTGCAGAGGGAAAGAGAAACTACTGCATTATTTTTATGTGTACTTTATTAATTTCATATGGTACCTGGATTTCCAGCTCAGCAATGTGCTGCTGTAATTCAGCCACAGCAGCAATGCTATCTGCTTCCCGGAGTCTCACAGCCATCACTTCTTCTTTGTTCTAGGGCAGCAAACAAAATAAACCAAAAATAAAACATGCAATAAGTCAAAATAAAACCTGCTTCAAATTTAAAAAATAACAAATAGATCTATGATTAAATGAGAGGAAAAAGTGCCATTATTTCCTGAACTTGATATAAAATGAAGACCGAATATATAGGATTCCATCTTTAAGCATTAATAAACAGCATTCATATAAATAAATATTGCATAAAAAGCTAAAATTAAAAATGAACTTATTTAAAACAATTCAAATCACTGGTGACAATGAAAGCTGCTCACTTTTTATGCAAGAACAAATATCGAGACCTTTCAAACACTGAAATAGGACAACAGATTAACAGAGACTATGGATACTGAGAGACTATATTAGCTAGATAATATTTTAAAATTATATTCTTTCTGAAGCAATAAATGTTAATGAGTATTTACAATATACAAAAGAAAATAAAAATTATATTATAATTCTAAACTTCCTAGGAAAAGCATAGCACTTAACTTTACCACCTCAAAATTTCACTAAGAAAAACCCCCAAACTATTCAACAATATTTATGACAAATAATACTGATCCAGAAATAACAAAATATGAAGAAAATATGTCAAAGTAGGTATGCAAAAATATTTTTCTCCTCCATTAACTTCAGTTGAAAGTTAGCAATTATTCATATAAAAAATGTATAGCATGGTGATCTTAGGAGAAATTTAGCACCTGACAGTACTATAATACCAAAATTTCTAAGAATACCAAATTTAGAAGTGTAATAAACTTTCAAATAAAAATTCATATTTATTTTTGTATCTCAGATACGATATTGCTGCTTGACATTAAGCAAATACTGCTTTAAATATTTTGCCAATTTGCATATGGTCACATGTATACCCACTGCTGTGCTAGTAAATGTCTAACAGCTTTCTCCTGGAGGGAGTGTGTGTGTATACACATACGTGTTCAAGCATAAGGTTATTGTACTTTTTAATATAAACTGATACATAGCATATACAGAACATTCAGATAATAAGAGAAAAAATACTCATTGCCAATTCTGTGTAGTCACAATATTCTCACAGAATGCTTTCACTGATTTTTTTCTAAACTACTGTATCCATAAGCCATCAATGGTTGAAAAAGTAGTAAGTGAAGTTTTGATATAAATGTTAAGTATTTTTGTTAGAAGATGAAAAGTGAAACAAAGAAGACTTATGTTAGAATTTCACACATTTGTTAATAATGTAAGAGAGAGTTTTTTTGTTGATTCTGGCAATAGTAATCAAACACTAAAAGAAAATTTCCTTAAAAATTCTGTGTTATTCATAATGTGTAGGTCGAAGAAACAACCCTTTTTTAACTTTAACCTGCATTTAAAAATCTAGCACAGGAGTCAAAAGCTTTTCCTTAAAGGGCCAGGTAGTAAATATGTTAGATTTGTGGACCATACCATGTATCACAACTATTCTACCTAGCATCAATGCAGTGTGAAGGTGGACAATATATAAATAAAGAGGCAAGGCTGTATTCCAATAAAACTTCATTTCCAAAAACATGCAACCAAACAGATTTGGGCTATGAGCTACAGTCTCCCAACATTTGGTCTAGATAATTTACAAAATAATAAATCCAGCACTGATTTATAGTTTGACAACTAATATGATGTAAATCCTCCTTTACGATGTAAATGGCTCCTTTCAAGATACCAACATACGTTACTGAACACTGAGTTGGGAAAAAATGTGCAGTAGAAAACTATTATATGGTTATTTCCACCATACAAGAGATATAAATAACTTCAAAAGCACAGATAGTGGTAAAATGTAAAAACTAAGTAGGAAATGATGAAGTTTGAGTATTTATTATTTTTGTTCTACCATAATTTAATTATGCTATATAACTTAATTGTTAATATGGCTGTTTTAATAAGTGAGTCACAGAATTCCTGAAAATTTAACAACTGGTTCTTATAAGCCTTTCCTGGCTGGCACCAGCACACCACTGTGTCTATATTTCATAAAATTCAAATCTCATTTTGTCACTCCCTTATTTTAAACACTTTATGGCACTCCACACAGATCTTGAGATAATGACTCAGGTCCTTATATATTGATAAACTAGATTCTATGTGATTTTACTCCTTATTCACTTCTCTAGCCTTGTATCTTACCAGTATTCCTCATGACACTTACCTCTAGCTACAATGAACTTTAGTTCAAGCAACCTCTTGTTCCTTCTCATTTTACTCTTCACACATTCTATTCCCTTTCTTCAGTGAGCTCTATTGTCATTCCTTAACTCCTACATAGTCTTAATGCTTTAATCACTCCTCAGTTAGCCATTCTTGAACGATTACCCTAACACTAAACTCCCATTATAATGCCCTGTATACCTCCTCAATCATAGCACTACTCATACTGCATTGTGCTTGTGTGTGTACTTGTCTAAATCTTTTACTAAGAGAAATCCCCTTGAGGGCAGTAATGTCTCCAACAGTCCCAGCACCAACTTTCAGCCTGTGAGCTACCTAAAACACCTTATCCTTTAGCTCCAGTTAAGCCACTGGAAGACTGCAGCCTCCTTAGAGATTCTAAGTCAGAACCATTTGGATAAGCTGCTCCTCAATTTCTGACCCATGGAAACTCTAGAATATTGGTGCTTATTGTTATTTTAAGCCACTAAGTTTTAGAGGTAATTTTAAAAATAGTAATAGATAACTAATACATTTATACTCTACTAATTTTATACAATTAACAGTGTGTAAAAATTATATCAAGTAAAACTTTTATTTATATAAGTATATATAAACTGAATTATATAAATTCATAATACTTACAAATGTATATATTATAAATCATACAAAATTATGTTAATCAAGTTAAAAAAAAAACAAAGCTTCCCCTAATCTTCTCCTTCTCCAATCTAATCACCAAGTCTTGTTGGTTCTCTACAAAAACAGACTGTACATTTATCTACTTCTCTTTATTTAAATGCTAATATCTAAGCCCAAGCTAGCACCTCTGTCTTGTACTATTTCCTGATGATTTCATATCAAATCTCTCTCAAACCCTACCTCAAACCTATCTCCAGTGGTATATGTGTTCTTTTAAAAAATAATTACATTAATTGCTATAAGCAATATCCCTTAATAAATGCTAAAAGTAATTGCTGAAACTTTACAGATATTTGCACGGCCTCAAAATAGTTCCCCCCAAATATTTATTAATTACTGTGGTGGTTTTAATATGCATCCATAAATTCTTTGATATTCTTTCCTTGAGGAGGTATAACTTAACAGCCCTGCCTGCTGTTGGACTATGGGCTGGACTTAATAACTTGCTTGTAAAGAAGAGTAGCAGAGGAAAAAAACTCTGTAGTGTTTGAGAAAGCTGGCAGACATCAACTTAAATGATGAAGGTTAACAGCACTAACCATACGATATATTAATAATATATGTCTTCTAACATGATATGTTGTGAAGGACACTTCAACTCTGTACTCTTTCATAAAATATATTATCTCAGTCTAGTCATGAGAAAACAGACAATCCTAAACTGAAGGATATTCTACAAAATACCTGACCAGTATTCTTTAATAATCAAGGTAAGGAAAGATAAGAAAACATTAAGAAACTGTCACAGATTGGAGGAGACAGAGACCTAATGGGGAAATCTAACTAAAGTCTATAGTTTAGTAATAATATTGTATCATTATTCATTTCTTAGTACTCATAAATATATCGTGGTTATGTAAGATGTTAACTTTAGGGGAAGCTGATTAAAAGGTATATGGTAACTCTGTACTGTTTTTGGTACTTTTCTGTAAACAAAAATATTTCAAAAGTAAAAAAAAAAATGAAGCAAATACAACAAAACAGAAAAAAAAAATCATAGTTTTCCTGCCTAAAACCTTTCAGTGGCCTCTCATTGAGTAAACCCAAATTCATTAGTATGAACTCTAAAATTTTACATGGCAAGAAATGGAGTTCCAACCTACTTCCTTGGTTTTATTTTACTAGCTTTTCTTTATTTTTTAAAAGATTATTTATTTATTTATTTATTTATTTATTTATTTATTTATTTATTTATTTATTTATTTATTTATGAGAGACAGTGAGCAATAGAGAGCATGAGCAGGGGAGAGAGGCAGAGGGAGAGGGAGAAGCAAGCTCCCTGCCAAACAGGGAGCCTGACATGGGGCTTTATCCCAGGACTTGGGGATCATGACTTGAGCCAAAGGCAGATGTTTAACCCACTGAACCACTCAGGCGCCCCTAGCTTCTCACTTTATAGAAGACTCAACAACCAACTTCTTTCCTGCTTCTGGATCTTAAATTTTGTGACCCTTTTCTTGCAAGGATCTTCCCCTGGCTCTTCATATGTCTGCTTCTTTCCTATTCTTCATGTCTCTCAGCTTTCACAATCACCACCTGGCATTCCATCTTAACCACCACTTCCCCTTACCTCCCACTTTAGAGTACATCATTAGGAATGATCTTATGTATTTTTTACTTCCTGTCTCAATAAACGTTGTGCTCATCTTCTTCACTACTGAATACCTAGAACCTCTAAGACTGAGAAATAAGGGCTGCCTAAGTATTTGACAAATATGTAAATAGATGCCATTATTCTTTGAAGTCTCATAATTTCATCTCCTACCATCCCTACTTGAGAATCACTGTCCTAAAATAAGCAAGTTATATCTATTTAAAATGAAAAGGTTTGGCTCTATGCTTTGTAAGTAACATAATGGAGAAACAGGTACTATCATGTCCGCTTGGTCAGAGTACAAAACAGTACAATCCTAAGGAGTGTAATCTAACAAAATTTCATGAAAGTACAAATGTATTTACCCACTAACCAAAAATCTACCTCCATAGGAATGTGGATATAACTCAATGTGTCTGAAATTATACATGTACAAGGTCAGTCACTACACTGCTTATGGCAGCAAAACACTGGGAAAATCTATATTCCCATCAACAACGACCCAGTTACTAAGTATATTAAAGTACATCCATGCAATGGAAAACAATGTACCTTAGAAACTAATGAGAAGACTCTTGAAACACTGATATTGAAAGTTCTACAAAACATGGTTACATAAAAACATAGTGACAAAAAAAGCAAAGAGAAGAACATACAGTATGTTAACTTTCATGTAAGAAAATGAAAAGAAAAATTATGTACTTTTACTCTATAGTATTTGCCTAAAAGAAACTCTGAAAAGATGTATCAGAAAATAATAAAAGCAGTTACCTAGCAAAAAATAAAAGAAGGGGTATGTGGTAGAGTCAGGAAGAGAATGAGATAAAAGGGGAAAGAGCGTGAGCAATGCTTTCATTTATACTCAAATTAAAAAATCAAAGCATTATGAAAAAATGTGTATGTATTAAGGTATTTAAGTTTATATTACATATAAGCACCAGATTTCTTTTCTTCCAGCTCCCTTCCTGTCATTATTCCATATATGTACAATATTATAATCAAAGTAAAATATTTTTATTTTCTTCACTTAAAATCACTTATCATACAATTTTACAAATTTATATATGAATTAATATATCTTTTCTCATGGATATATACAGATCTATGTTGGTATATCTATATATATATAGAACCAGAGAATATAAAATCTTTCTATAATCTTCAAACTTAGATTTATATAGAAAATTCCACAATTTCATTACTAAAATCTTGGGGGCTAGGTATGTCATGGAATTTCAGAATTTTTAGATTTTAGAAAAATAATAAGGTACATAAACCATACATTAATATGATCCAGTGGCAGCATCCATAATGAAATACTATGTTCAATGCTAAACACAAAGAAACCATAAAGTATAAATATCTATACGAAGTGGGATAAAATAAAAACTATAAATTGCCATTCAAATGAATTTGTGTGAAATTTATGAGAAACGCTTGGGTTTCAGTGTTTTGAATTTTCATATTGGAGATGACAGACTTACTATTTTCACCTTTAAGTGGAAACATTCAAATTCAGTAATAGAGGGGGAAATAACATTAATATTAAAAACAATATCCTGATAATGAAAAATAAATGAAATAAAAAATAAAATGAAATTTAATAATTATTTATCAACAAATTATACTATAATCATATAAAACTAAATGAGGGGCTCTTGGCAGCTCAGTTAAATACCTGCCTTTGGCTCAGGTCATGATCCCAGGGTCCTGGGATGAAGCCCTGAGTTGGCCTCTCTGCTTAGTAGAGTCTGCTTCTCCCTCTCCCTCTGCCCCTTCTCCCAACTCGTGCTCTCTCAAATAAATAAAATCTTTAAAAAAATCTGAATGAAAACGAATCAGAGTTTCTATAATTGAAGGACTAACTTCCTTGAAAAAGTTAGGGTTTGTTCCTGAACTGTTCAAGTGTAACAAGGTAAAATACTTAATTACAATGTACTAGGTGCTACGGTAACAATGAACACACTGGTCATTCTCAAAATCTGCCAAAAGGTATTATAAAATATTGAATAAATCAATACACAGGGTAAATACGGGGAGATATCAAAGTCAGCATCTGTAACATATTTCACAGAATTATTAATGAATTGCTAAAAATTAAATAAAAGTTCATAATGGTTCTTAAAATTTTCTAAAATTCTGAATCTGAGTCCATTAGTTAAATTTAAAAGAATATATATTTTTATCAGCAAATCCCATAGATTATTTCCAAAGAACACTTTGCTTAAAAGGTGCTAAAGCATTTGAGAAGGAATATTAAATCCAGTAACAATGTGAACAACCTATGTTTAAGGAAAACTTACACCAATAATGAAAAAAGACTAAGTTTAGCTCTTTATTAAAAATAAATCAGCACAGACAATATGGCATTATGAAAATTCAGTCACATATTAGAAGGGCAAATCAAACTGATATAACCTCATGTCACATAATTTTATTTTTAAATTAGTCATATCCTTCTAAAGGGACTAATTTTAAGTTAGTACAAATTTCAGTACTGCCTACAGATTTCTGTCAGTGTAAATTGCAACAGCCATGCATATTTATTAGGATGTAATTTCATCTCTGGATTTCAGTGACACTGATAAACCACTCAAGCTTCATTCTTGGTTTTTAATGACACCAGAACAAGTTGATGGAATTACAGCTTCATATGTACCATTGAAAGTCTTATTTCTTATCATAGAATAATAAGGCTGGAATCTTTAAAGAGCATCATTCCTGCTGTCCTATCATGAAAAGATGGATATCTAGTTTATTTTTAAAATCCCATAACTAGTCCTCAGTAATCTACTCTAATGCTCAGACCGTAGTCATCTCTTCAGTTATTTCTTTCTCTAACACTCACTTTCTCTCCTTCCACTCCCTCCTCATCCCACCCCACTCCTTATCCCCCTTACTCTCTCACCACTGTTGTACTGTAAATTGATTTTAAAAAAAATTTACTTGCATTCAAATACTTTTTGATGCTTTATAAATCCAAACACTTCACACACCTCTCTAAATCACCTATATTTTTGGTTGCAATTTTAAAAGCTTTTCTTTTAAAAGGTTACAAGTCAAAAGAAAAATTGCAGAAAGATATCAATTTTCAACTACTTGTTTAACTTAATTTCCTACACTGGCATTTAACCAAGTGGGTGAAAATGAGGTTTCCTGCCTGAAATCCACCTCACAGCAAGATGAGCTAACCCTGTCTGAAAGCAACCACTAAACCCAGTTCAGGAAAAGTGGGGGGAAAAAAACTAGCTCTTTTTGGTTTTATTTGGTTTTAAATAACGAAGAGACAAAACAAAAAGGCATTATTACATTGACAAAAACAATAGGTAGCTGATATATTTACCTTGCATTCAATCTCTGCTTGTTTGCGTTTTGCTTCACTTAATTGAGTAAGCAGTCCTTTGTTCTGTGCTGAAAGATATTGCACCTTCTCGTGTAGACTGATCACCTCTTGTTCTGCTCTTCGAAGATGGTTACTATTGATCTGATTCTAATAATTAAAAATGTAAATACTCAGACATTAAAGACTCCAAAAAACCTACAAATTTCTATCTCCCTATTTTATAAAATGCTATTATTATTAGTTACAGTTGAATTTTATTTAATAGTTCAATACTAAAAAAAAGTTATAAAACATGCTTAAAAATCAAGTCATCCAAAAGAATACTTAAGGTCCATATTACAAACTCTTCCTAATTTTCTGTTTATACAATACATATCTACAAACTTTAAAAATGTTTACAGAGAATGTTTCCAGTTTCCAAAAGAAAGCACAGACGGATTGAAAAGTACCATCACCATATACTGAACTGTAAAATCCTTGGTGTCATGAAATTTGTCATAGGCAGTTCTATATTCCTCTAACATACAGAACAGTCTTTTTATGGAGCATGAATTGGTCTTGAATTCTGACTTTTTGTCTGATGATTAGGCAAACCAGTTATAATATTTGAGTCTATTTCCTCATTTGAAAAATGTATATAAAAATACTTCCTATTTCACATTTGATTGTCTTCAGTAATAAATGAGAGATTACATGGAACAGAGCTTAATATATAGAAAGAACTCAATGCTAGCTACTTAATGTGTTACAATTATAGAACATGCTAAAAATATATATATAGGCCTTAAATTGGCTGACATGAGGTAGTTTCCCCATGTAGGTTTCACGTAGCCTGTTTCTCTTAACCCCAAAATATTCTATTAGGGGTCTGAAAGAAACAGTAGGGATTTTATAACCAAAGATGAAAATCTGGATCCTCATTTTACAGCTTTTCAACCTTGCTAAACTTATCTAATCCCAACAAGTTTCAGTACACTGGTATAAGCACAGAAACTACTACTTGACTTTAAAGGCTGTGTTTTAATAATCATATGAGAAAAGTTTATGAAAGGAGTCTCATATAATGTCTGAAATTAAACAGATACTTAATAAATTCTTGGTTGTTACCATTATTATAACTATTCTACCTCATTCAATAAAAACAACCCTGCCTTGATTTTTAAAAATCTGCATCATAGAATAGATTTAAGGTCCAAAACTTTCTACCACTTCTGAGTTTCTTCATCTTTAGTTTTATTCATCTTCCTATCTACAAAATAATGAACTTCTTAGTACTCAAGTACTTAGTGCTTAGATTCAAAATGTTCCACAACTTCTTTTTACGGTCTTCTTTCCTACCACTAAATACTTCAGAAGGACATACCTTCAACATAAGCTTCAAAGAATTCTCAGAGAGAACTCTTCCTTCCACCCCTCAATACAAGTCTATGACCCAAAATTATAAAGCTCCACACATAAGCAAAACTGAAAATTGACAATGAGTGAGAAATTGTAGACAACAGAACAAAAGAATAAATTTTTTAAAAACTCTAGTTGGAAAATAATCATGTAAGGACTTATATGAAATAGTATATTTAAAATTATTAGGCATAAAAAGAGAGAGCAAAAACCTAAGCAAAGAACAACTAATTATCAAAAAACATTTAGCAAATTTGGGGGCGCCTGGGTAGCTCATTGGTTAAGCTTCCAATTCTTGATTTCGTTTCACTTCATAAACTCAGGGTTGTGGGATGGAGCCCTGCACCAGAGGCCTCAGTCAGTTGTCCCTCTCCTTCTGCTCCTCCCCAACTCATGCATGCATGCTCTCTCTCTCTCTCTCTCTTTTTTTTTTTTTTAAGGTTTTTTATTTATTTATTTACGATAGTCACAGAGAGAGAGAGAGAGGCAGAGACACAGGCAGAGGGAGAAGCAGGCTCCATGCACCGGGAGCCCGATGTGGGATTCGATCCCGGGTCTCCAGGATCGCGCCCTGGGCCAAAGGCAGGCGCCAAACCGCTGCGCCACCCAGGGATCCCGCTCTCTCTCTCTCTTAAATGAATAAATATCTTTTAAAAACCCCACATTTAGAAAATCTGAAAAATAATCAAATACAATTTCTAGAAGTTAATGTGGCCAATAATGTTTAAAAATTAAAGGGTTAAGTAGGTGATTAGCTACACTGAAAAAAATAGTGTTCCAGAAGAGGTCAGAAGACATAGAAGAGAGTAAGGAGGTACAAAATACACCCAATGGGGGGGTTTCACGATAAAACAGAAAACAAAGAAAAAGGTAAGAAATGATTGTCTAAGAGTTGACTATAGTTGACAATTTTTACAACTGATAAAGATATATATATGAATCTACATTTTGGAAAGCACAACTAGTCCCAAACAGGATAAATACAAATAAACCCTCACTAAGACACACTTTAACAAAACAATGCTAACGAAGATGCAAATTAAGGGCAAAACTGAGTATCTGTGAAAAGGGAAAGTGAAATATGCAATAGACATTGCAACAGGAAAACTCTGTAGTGCTTTAAAAACTAAATTTCAGGGGGATCCCTGGGTGGCGCAGCGGTTTGGCGCCTGTCTTTGGCCCAGGGCGCGATCCTGGAGACCCGGGATCGAATCCCACATTGGGCTCCCGGTGTATGGAGCCCGCTTCTCCCTCTGCCTGTGTCTCTGCCTCTCTCTCTCTCTCTCTGTGACTATCATAAGTAAATAAAAAAAAAAAAAAAAACTAAATTTCATCCTACTTTAGTGTATTCAAATAAACTATCATATAAAGGTGAGAAAAAAGTATATTTACTGTTAAGAAAGTGAGACTTTACAACTCATGATTGAAATCGGAAAGAAAACTGTTAAGAAAAGAGCAAAAACTCAGCAAACAGGCAGACAAATCCAAATAAGCACTGACTCCACAAAGCAATAATGTCTCGTAATTTGGAGATATAAAAAAGATGTACAATAATAGTAAGATATAAGATTGGAAAATGAAAGAAGAGCACATGAAGATCTTCCAAGGCCCTTTTACATAACTTAGAAGGAAGATGGGGATAATTATCAACATCAAACTTTGTTCAGTCAGGTGAGCATTTTTTATTTTTTTATTACATAGGTAACAAACACTAACAGAAAAGGAATTATAAAAGTCAAACCAGTAGCAGAAAAAGAAACATCATCTAAATTAATCCAATAAAAAAGGAGGGAAAAAATAGAAAAAAGGGAATAAAAAAAGAAAACAATTTAAAATACATCATAATAAAGAGTTTGGATTCCTGATGTGGTTGTAGAATAGAAAGAGCATTATTCTCACTCTTTAAATTAAAAAAAAAAAAAAAAGAAGCCAAAATCGAAATTCATGACTTCTCTTGAAATCAGAGATGAGGTCACAAGGCAATTAACTATCCCTAAAATATAAGGACAGACAAGACAGATGAAGCCAAAAGCTGTTAAAAATAATTCAGCCAGAATATAATCAAATTGGTAGAGACCAAGTGTTGACTGGCTAGAGAGTGTGGAGCCTAAGGGAGCAGGAGAGTTCACAAGCTCTTACACACTTTTTCTTCATGGACCACACAAAAAAGATGGATGAGAGTCTTGAAAAAGAGATCTCCATTGCGCAGGCTTGAGGGAGGAGAATAACAGCTAATGCGAAAGGAGCATTAAACCTTGCTTGTCTCCTCTAGGGAACATAAGCTTGAAATGGGGCAAAAAACACTATTGCCCTTAGAGCACTGGAGAAACTACTACATGTGAGGAAGGGACAGGACGATATTGTGGACCTAGGACTATAGCTGGTGGTAGGGCAGGAGCACCAAGAAAGTCAAACACTCTAGATCCAGGGACACTATGCAGCCTAAGACTGAGGCTTTATTAGAAAAATGGGCAACACTTCTGCCCCTCCAACCTCCTGTAAAAAGTAATAGAGGAACACTTCTGAATACTGAATCTCTCTGAAGTGCTGTGTAAATGGAAGACCTAAAGACACTAAGAAAACCCTCTGGCAAACCAGCCCCCATTCTAAAAATAAGATCATGCTAGAGGAATTTGAAGCCTGTGGTGCAATGAGGGTAACCACAGAAACAACAAACCTCAAACCCAGCCCAACTCCTGACTGTATTAACTCAAATCCCCCACATTAAAGGCCTAGCAGAGGAAAAGGTATGCCCATTTCCAGGCATAAAAACTACTTACCTATGTCTATTGTCCTACACAAGATACTCAGTTTTCAACAAAAAATTACAAAGCATAGGAAAAGATAAGAAAAAACAAAACACTACCAAGAGACAAAGTAATCAACAGAATTAGCCTCACATATGACACAGATATTAAAATTACCCGACAGGGAACTTATAATAACTGTGATTAATATGCTAAAGGCTCTAAGAAAAAAGTGAAAAGCATGAAAGATCACATAGTTACTATCAGCAGAGAAATAAAAACTAAAAGAATCAAATGGAAATGCTAGAAATGAAAAAACACAGTAGTAGATGTGAAGAATGCCTTCAGTGGCTCATTAGACAACTCACAGAGTGGAAGAATCAGTGAACTTAATGATAAGTCAGTATAAATATTTAAGTCAATAGAAACTGAAATGCAAAAAGAACAAATAATGAGGGGGAAAAAAAGAACAGATCATCCAAGAGTTACCATTAACTACCATTAATATCAAATAATCTAACATATGTGTAATGGGAATCCCAGAAGGAGAAAAGAGTATGGATAGGACAGAAGAAATATTTGAAGAAAGAAAAACCAAGAATTTTTCAAGTTTCATGACAGGCACAAATACACAGGGCCAAGAAACTCAGGATAAAAACAAAGCAGAAAACAAACAAACAAACAAACAAGTCATTTCATCTTTAAGCTCCTAAAAACAAGAGATAACCTTAAGAGTAACCAGAGGGTCAAACACATTACATGCAGATGAAGAAAACCAGAATTCTGGCTTGCATGGTTTCTGACAAGAAGAATAACTTACACCGTTGAAGAAAAACAACAAGAAACAACTCCAAATACAATATCCAGCAAATATGCATTTTAAAATTGAAGAAATACTTTCCCAAAGAAATAAAGGTACTGCCAGCTAACCAGCAGTACAAAAAAGTTAAAGGAAGTTCTTTAAGCAATAAGAATATGCCACCAGACAGAAACGCAAATCTATACAAAAAAATAAAATGCCAAAATGCAATAATTGAAGGGAAAATGTTAAAAATTTTAAAAATTTCTCTGAAAGGTAATGATTAAAGCAAAATTAGTAGCACATGACATGGTTGACTATATGTAAAATATATGAGAACAATAGCACAAAGAAAGGGGGAAGAACTGGGAATATACTGTTGAAAGGTCCTTATTACGTGTGAAAGGTACAATATTATTTGAAGAAGCTCTGATTAGATGTATAGTGAAAAACCTAGAGAAACTAGTAAAAAAGAAAAAAAATGTACGGAGTATAAATAAAGACAATTGTGGAGATAAAACGTAATTATAATAAATGCCCAAAACCCAAGAGAAAGTAGAAAAAAGAAGAAAAAAAATACAGATAATGGAACAAAGAGAGGATAGGCAGCAAGCTGATAGATATTAATCCAAACTGAATCATCAAACATGTACTACACATGACAGCTAAAAGAGACCGAGACTGCATTTTTATAGCTTTATTGGGATGTCCACATCATAAAATTCACCTAAAGTGTACCTATACTTCAGTGGTTTTAGTATATTCACAGAGTTGTATGATTATTTGTCAGACTGGATTTTTAAAAATACATACCTATATGAAGTTCATCAGAATGTAATTAACAGGTTGGAATTTAAAGGATGGAAAAAGATATATTAAGGCAAATGCTAAACAACAAACAGCTTAGATAACTATGTTAAGATGAACAGACTAAATCAAAATGCATCATGAAGGATAAAGAGGATTAGCATATAGTAAGATACATTTTACCACAAAAGAAATAACAATTATATATTTGTATGTCCTTCTAAAAGAGGCTCAGAATATTTTAAGCCAAAAAAATTATTATTCTGAAGAGAAATAAACAAATCAATAATCACAACAGAAAATATCTACTAGTTAGTATTTCAAAGATAAGGTGACACACACAAAAACTAGGAAGGATATAGAAAATACAAACAATACATTAAATATATTTAAGATACATTAAATAATTAAGAAGTTTGATCTAATGTAAGACTCTACAGACCACATTCTGTGACAACAAAGCAAGTTAGTTAACATAATGACATAAACTACTAATGAAGTGAACCAGAAATCTATACTTCTGGAAATAAAAGAAAACATAATAGGAGTACAAAGAAAGGGGAAAAAGATGAAACCCAAGCAACATATAATAAAAGAATATAAGGAATAGAACTAAATTATACAGAAAACAATGGTATTAACATGGAGTACCAACAAAAACTAAAAACCCAGTCTTTAGAAATATATATATTTTTAAGATTTTATTTATTTATTCATGAGAGAGACAGAGAGAGAGGCAGAGACACAGGCAGAGGGAGAAGCAGACTCCATGCAGGGAGCCCGACGTAGGACTCGATCCTGGGACTCCAGGATCATGCCCTGGGCCGAAGGCAGGCTCTAAACAGCTGAGACACCCGGGCTGCCCCCAGTCTTTAGAAATATTAATAAAAATGGCAAGTTTCTAAAAAATATGGTCAACTTCTGTGCCTTTCCAAGAAAATACACAGGCACAAATAAACACTATTAGAAATGAAAAAAGAGACAAATATTGATCCAGTAGAAAGAAAGGATATTTCTTTAAAAACTACTCTGAGGGATCCCTGGGTGGCGCAGCGGTTTGGCGCCTGCCTTTGGCCTAGGGCGCGATCCTGGAGACCCGGGATCGAGTCCCACGTCGGGCTCCCGGCATGGAGCCTGCTTCTCCCTCTGCCTGTGCCTCGCCTCTCTCTCTCTCTCTGTGACTATCATAAAATAAATAAAAAATTAAAAAAAAAAAAAAAAACTACTCTGAACTCTAAGTGATAAATTTGAAAATTTAGATGAAATGGAAGGGAAACATTAACTTACCAAACCAGACTCAAGAAAAAAAACAGAAAACCTGAAAAGACTTGTAACTTTTCAGTAAGTAGGATTGATAGTTACTATTCACACAAAACAAAACAAAAAGATAACACTGTTTAAAGGAATGGATTCCAGTAAATACTGAAGTGACAAGTAATTCAAATCTTAGATAGTATTTTATAAACTATAACAAAAAAAGATAAAATACAATCCAATTAATTCCATAAGCTTTTTATAACCTTTGTATTGAAACTAGTAAAAAGCCTCCCCCAAAAGAAAAATTGTACATTTTAACTTAGGTACAAAAAAATCCAAAATATTAAAAACCTGAATCCAGCCATGTGAATGTGTTGTGTACATCTCTGTGCCTGTAATATTGACAACTGTACCTCAATATAACTAGTTTGCTTTGCAGTCCTATGTATTTTACTTTATGCATTAAAAACCATTATTTTTGAGAAAGAGTCCCGAGGCTCCAGACTGCCAAAGGGGTTCATGGTATTAAAAAAAAAAAAAAAAAAAATCTGTCCTCAAGAAACTCTTAGAGCTATCCACTAGGAAATATGTGCAAGAATGTTCAGAACAGCACTATCTGTAATAGCAAAAACTGGCACACAGAAAGAAGAGTGTGGTTCAATAAACTAAGATGTACTTCCTCGGCATTTTCTAAAAGGCACTAAAATTAAGGAACTGAAACTACATGTATCAACAAGGACAAATCTCTTAATCTGGATGCTCTGTATGGACCATCACTAGTTCGAGCACTGGCATTTAGGAAAAAGTGCCTTATGCCATTCCTCTTCCAGCAAAATCCATTCAAAATCACACTTAGGTACAATTCAAAGTACAAATTCCTCAAGCTTTTCCCTAAACTGTCTAGTTGGAATTTATTTTCCCTTCCTATTTTCCGTAGCAATTTCTATTGAACTCTTTAATTACCAAATTTCTAAATTATACATTTTCCAATTTTATTGAGATATAATTGATATATATATTGCTGTGTAAGTCTAAGGTATACAGAATAATGACTTGATTTACATATAGTGTGAAATGATTATTTAACAACCATCATGTAATATAGTGAATTATAATAAATATATTTTGTGCATGCCTGATTTCCCATGTGCTAAGTTTTCTAATGGCTGGACGGTGCTTTGCATTCAAAAGTTCTCAAAACGATATTTGTGAATTTGATTCGTTCACCACTTTGAAATAAAACCTAGGGGTGCCTGGGTGGCTCCGTCATTTAAGCGTTTGCCTTTTGCTCAGGTCCCCCCAGGTCCTGGGATTGAGCCTGCCTTGGGCTCCCTGCTTGGTGGGATGCCTGCTTCTCCCCTTTCCCTCTCCCCCTGCCTGTGTGCTCTCATGATCTCTCTCAAATTAGATAAAGTCTTTAAAAAAAAAAGAACGATAAAAACCCTGAATATAGGCTTAAAGGCTGTATTGCATCTTTAATGTGTGTACAAGGAGATAAAAATCTTTTATGAAATAAAACCTCCCAATACAAAAGCTAGATTTCTTTTTTTTTTTTTTTCAGATTTTATTCATTTATTCATGAGAGACACAGAGAGGCAGAGACCCAGGCAGAGGGAGAAGCAGGCGCCATGCAGGAAGCCCAATGTGGGAATCGACCCCAGGACCCCGGGATCATGCCATAAGCCAAAGGCAGACAGATGCTCAACCACTGAGCCATCCAGGCGTCCCAGAAGCTAGATTTCTACTTTTCGAAATTTTACTGTTATTTTTAATTATAATGAAAAATTCAAGAAAATAACTTTGAACAGTGTAAAACAAGGTATATTGTTTAACCTAAAGGATTTACAGATTCGTGTGACCATATTCAAGTTCAGACAATTTTACCTATAGGTATACAGAATGATACGTGAGTTAACTATGCCCCCTACTGACTAAGTACTTAGAAAACCAACTAACATTACAGAGAATACAGAAAGAATATGGTCCACACAAATGTACCACATAAAAATCAAATGTACTTTATAATGCAAGTGAGTTCCATTAAAAGAATTTTTCAGATCTTAAATCAAGTATATTTAAGATAGAATTTATTACAGAAAGGGGAGACTTGAGAAAAAAGAAGTATAATTTTGGAATTAACTGCTCAGAGTCACCACATTACACATACGGAAGCATCATTCACATTATATTCTATGCCAATTATTCTCAACCAGGGGCAATTATGTCCCCTAAGGACATTTGGCAATATGTGGAGATGCTTTTGGTCATCACAACCTGGGGTGGGGAGTACAGTGAAATTGGATCTAGTGAGTAGAGGACAGCGATACTGGTAAACACCCTAAAATGCATAGGCCAGTCCCCCAAATAAAGAATTACCTGGTTCAAAATCTTAAGAATCAAGGTTGAGAAATTTTGCTCTACATGAATATTTCCTCTCAACTTGTGCAATAAGGCAACAAGTTAAATACAGTTTTATGACTTGCTTAAACTTTGCCGATTGGGTCAAAGAAAACATTAAAATCTCTGATATCAAAGACTACAATTTTTAGCCATTTTCATTTGGGCTAGGAAATTATAGTCTAGACAGTTTCATATATCCATCTTTTATATCTATTCTACATCTATTCTAGAGATGATATAACCTGTGCATAAATTTTGACCTCCTCATGACGTTTTTTTTTAAGGGGGGGGGGGGAGGAGAGAGAGAGAGAATATCTTAAGAAGGCTCCACACCTGTACTCCTAAGGTCATGACCTGAGCCAAAATCAAGAGTCCAAAGTTTAACCAATGGAGCTACTCAGGTGCCCCACGCTAATGGCCATTTTTTAAAGGTACTGGGCTTTCCCATCATACCTGTGTTTCCATTTCCATCATCCTTTGTTTAATTTCTCTTATTTCTGCCTGAGTTTCAGCTTCTCTAAGTCGAATGGTCATCAGTTCATCCTGTAACTCATTTACAGCATTTTTCTTAGGTGGGTCTTTCCACCTCCCAGTAGTACGAGCTAAGTGGCGCTAAAAGACAGAAAAAATTATATTGCAACAAATATTCCCAGTATCAAAATAAGAGCTAACTTTCCTGGAACTTATTTCATGTCCAGTACTATATTTAGCACTATATATACATTATTTTATTTAATCCCCAGAAAACTTTAATAGTTATGTACTATTATCTTCATTATACAGGTCAGAAAATGGAAATGGTGATTAAGTAACTTCAGAAAGGTCAATATAGCCAGTAAGTGGCAGACCTGAAATACAAGCTCAGATATAGTTCAAATCTGTTTATACTGTGGATCATTGTATAGAACACAATTTTCACCCTAAATTTATTATGACAGATTTCCAAATTTTTAATGAAATCCCAAGAAAAGAAAAAACAGGGCCATTCATGAATTAAGGAATATTAGAAATGTTCTCAAAGTATCCATGGTGAAGGATCGGTTTTGTTTTTAATTTACAGTTTATTGCTGCCTGATACTTCTGGGAAAAAAGAAAAATGTTGTGGAAATATCAAGGACTAATTTCAATCTTTGCTAGAGGTAACCCTACCCCAAATTCAAACCAAAGTCACTAATCTGAAATGATATGTAGTGTTTTTTATTTTCCTCTCCTGCTTCTAGATTCTGTTTTTTGGTTCCTTATCAGCACTTTTCCTCATATGTGTAAAAATCTGTGGGCATATAAATGCCTGATTTTGTGAAACAACCAATTTTCAAAACAGTTTACAAATGTATAGACAAATTTATATTGGTGTCATCCTGCTGTTTCATACTGACCAATGGATTTAATATCAACAGAAAAATGTCCTATATAAAGGAAAATTTTCTTTTCTCTTCATTAGAAGAAGTTACATAAATCACAATGGTACAATAACAACAACTTGACTTGATCTCTATTTTATCTTTTTAATTATATGAATTAAAAAGGAAGAAACAGCTTAAAGGTTCTTTCAATTTATAAATGCCTTCATGTTTTTGCATTTAAAGAGTTTCACTTTAAACTCAAATCCTAATGATGATCATCAGCACTTCAAACTCATACAAATTAAACATTTAGGCTTCACCTGCTTTTTAAAAGCACACAAAGTATACTGATATACCTGCCAGTGTTCCTCTAAATCCTTGACCTGTTGTCTCAGCTCTTTCAATCCCATAATAGCTTCTGCTTCTCTCAGTTTCACAGCAATGAGCTCCTCCTGAAGCCTTGCAATGTTATTCTCATCAGGAAAAGAGTTGTTTCTCTAATGCAAGAGAAAATTTGGGATTTTTAAATTTAAAGAATGAAATAAAACATATGCTGTAAGAACTATTTTGTCCCATACATAATTATATTTAATTTTATACAGTTTTACTAAAATATAAATCACAAACAATAAAACTTACCCTTTTAACGTACACTAGTCAGTGGATTTAAGAGTATTCACAGAATTGTACAACCATCATCATGATCTAATTTCAGGACATTTTAATCACCCCACAATGAAACCCTTTACCCATTAGCAGTCCCTCCACATTTCCCCTCCCTCAGCCCCTGACATCCACTAGACTACTTTCTGTCTCTGTGGATTTGTCTATTCTGAACATTTCATAACAATGGAATCACATGATATCTGACCTTTTATGATTAGCTTCTTTCACTTATCATGTTTCAAGGTTCATCCCTTTCTTTGACAAATAATATTCCATTGTGTGTGTATGCTACATTTTATTTATCCATTCATTAGTTGACAGAAATCTGGATTGTTTCCATTTTTTTGGCTATTATGGAAATGCTGCTATGAACATCTGTGTAAAAGTGTTTGTGTGAACTTATATTTTTAATTCTCTTGAGTTTATACTAAGGAGCAGAATTGCTGGACCAGATGCTAATTCTACACTTAACTTTTAAGAAACTGTCAAACTTTTCCAAAGCAGATGTACTGTTTTACATTCCCACTGGGAATGTATGAGGGCAATTGTACTTAATTTTGAGGACACAAAAAGTCTAACTGCTTTGTTTAAGAAAACAGTAATCAGAGTTTTGAAGCAACATAATTAAAATGTTTTTAACATGGCAATAAGCTTACTAACCTCCGATTAGGACTCCAAACAAAGCATGAACATCACTTATATTTTAAAGACTTATAGAAAAGAATAGTCCAAAATCTATTTGTAAAATAGATTGTGTACAATACAAAATACAAAACGTATTTTCTCAACATGTCACTTTGGAAAGGAGTATAAAATCGTTGAACATTAGTTATTATTTATATCAAGATTAAGAAATTAATACTAAGGTGATCTACATATTTGCTTAAAGAGTACAAGATCTCTTACTCCACTGAAAGACCCAGCCTAGATACAGGGTAGCCCCTATTACACTGCTTTGGGCTATGACCAACAGATCCTAAATTAGGCCACAGTAAAAGCTCCTTGGGTAAAGTGGGGTACTACTGAGATTTCAAGCACTGAGTCTATGAAATTTTATAACTCTAAAATATTTCACAGTAGGACATGAAGATTTTAGCTCCTAGAGATAATGAATAAAGTTATTCTTGCCAATTACACATTTTTACGGTGGACTATAAATACTTTCTCGATTGAATACCAGAAATTTACTGTATATGCATAAAAAGAGAATCCTGCAAGAAGAAATTAACCATAGGAAGCATGAAGACTTCTAATTTCCTCTCTATAATATGAATACAAACAGACCTATTTAAGAACTCCATTTCTAAGTTGGAGCCAATGACATTTCTTTCTACCACATACTCAAAACTAACAAATTGAGATTCTTATCTACATTATGGTACGCAGAGTACTCCTAACTTAGAAACCAAATATTCTCTTATGCATTTTTTATAACTCTCTTGCTGCCTTTTTCTCAACAAATAGGAAAATAAATTCTCTAAAAATAATATAAAAATAGCAAGCAGATCTCTAGCAAAATTATTCCACTACTTTTTTTTTTTAAGATTTTATTTATGAGAGACACAGAGAGAGAGGCAGAGACACAGGCAGAGGGAGAAGCAGGCTCCTTGTCGGGAGCCTGATGTGGGACTCGACCCCAGGATCCAGGATCACAACCTGAGCAGAAGGCAGACACTCAACCATTGAACCATCCAGGCGCCCCAATTATTCCACTACTGATGGTTGTTACACCCTGCTTTATTTCATTAAGAAACAGGAACAACTTGAGGCTGTCATGTTCATTATTTATAAGTCTTTGATTTGATAGCTAGATACTACCTGGTAAAAAGAACAAAGAGCCTAAGCCACCAGTGATTTTATAGAGGACAAAAAAAGAGATTCAGGGTTTGTGATCTAGAACACAGACTCTCAAATCTGAAAACTATGAGAAACCTAAAAACATTTCTTTTTTTTTTTTTTTAACATTTCTATTTCTATTACTTATCTAATCCTTAAAGTTCTTTAATAACCTTGAAAAGAAGTAAATTAGCTTCTGTAAGTACACTTCAGGCTAAGATCTTCCCATATGTCCTGAGGTGGCTTATAGTAGCTTGGAAATTTTTAACAGTAACACTCGGATGAAATTTTTTTTGAAGTGTTTATGTATTACTCATATCCTATCTCTTACAGATAAAGATATACTATTTGAAGACAAACATTAATATGTAACCCCTAAGTTTCATTTAAATATTAAATCATCTCAAAATTACCGTGGTTGCTTTCCTCTAAAAGCGTTCCAATTTTTTTTTTTTTAAACCCTTAAAAAAGGGGCTTTGAGTAGTATGGCAACAACAAAGAGTAAGTGAGAAGCTTATTTTCTTTCTCCTTTTCTCTTATGGTAACTAATGTGTAGGGTTTCCAATGTAGAAAAACACCAAGTCCAATTTAACTGTTCAATAAGTACATCTATCACATGTCTCCTCTAATTTGGGAATGACAGTATTTATATTGTTCTCACCTTCTCTATATCCAGGACTTTATCCTGCATCTCCTTTAGTGCACACTGAGACTCAGCTTCACTCAGACGGGCTTGGACCAATTCCTTCTCTAGTTGCAGCACAAAATCTTCATTGTAGTTGGAATTGCATTTATGCTACAAATTATAGGCATATAATGAAATTTCATAAAGTATGAACATGTACATACAATAAAAATAAATGCAATTACACAGTACAGTTACTAAGAGCAATCAAATGTAAAAGTCTGATCTCCCCACTACTTTTAGTTTATCTACTCCAAATAACTTTCCAATGAATAAAAAAGTCCAGTCATGGTATCTATGGATAAAACACATTACTCTTTGCTGGTAAACAGTTATTATACTAATCAAATCCAATTCATGAAAGATAAATATCTCCTTTTATCTGTCCATCCATCCAGATACTAAGAACTTGTTCTGACTCTATAGACATGCCCTGTATGAGAATGTAGCCATTAGCCACATATGGCTACCCAGCACTTGAAATGTTGCTAGTCCAAATAAGAAAGGATGTAAGTGTAAATACAAACTGAATTTTGAAGACTTATTATGAAATAAAAGCACAAAATATCTCATTAATAATTTTTATATTGATGACAGGATGAAATAATATTTTATACACACTGAGTTTAAGAATATTAATTTCATCTATAATTATGACTCCTTTTAATAAAGCACTTTAAAATGCGTATGTGGCTCACATTCTATTGCTATGGGACAATACTCTTATACACTAGACAGGTACACATTTACTGAAAATTCTATTTTAAAGTAATTCTTTTTTTAAATAAAAATAAGGCACTCACAAATGACGTGAACCACCCTAAATCCCAACAGAATAAAAATGTATTTGTTCTTAGAAATGTAGAGCTCTTTAAGGATATGCATGAAAATCACTGCTGGAAACCGAGAAAAAGAAGATGCTGCACAAAGAAATTAACCACAGAAGCACAAAACCTTTCCATCTCCTTTCCTGCTCTTTAATGTGAATACCAATGCAGCCACTTAAGAAATCCCTTTTTAAACCAGTTTCTATAAAAAGCTGTTCTAAGAAAGCAAAAAGATATCTAATTCACCATTATATAAGACTTCTTAAAAGAAACTATCATTTCACATTTAAATGACATAGTAAAGAAACAACTCAAAATTCCAAAATAGTCACAGAGAATCATCTCCTGATGAATTAGCTTGAATAGAGAATAGTTCCTTCTTCAATTAATAGTTTACTCTTTAATACATTAGGAATAAGACCGATGTCAAATTAAAACTTTATTTAAAAACTATTAAATGTTTAATTAAGACATAATACTCCCTTACCCCAGTTACTCAAAAAGATGGTTTTTTAAATGAATAGTTGACTTATTAAACAAAGGAGGACTTTTTAATTCAATGTATTACACATTATTTTTCCTAGTAATTTTCTGGTACGATTAAAACAGTATTCTATTTTTTTTTTAAGCAGTATTTCTATACAAGGAGTATATGTGCAACAGGTATATCTCTTTAGTAAATACTTACCTTACTAAATAGGGAAAAGGGACTCTTTTGGAATAACCACATCCAAAATGCAGGTGCCACAAATTTTGTTTAATGGGACTCTGGTTATTCCATGAGTAATACTAGAATTTCTTGCCCTAATCTAAAGCCCTGACAACTGTAGTTCAGGTGTGTTTGCCAAGATTCGATATTAGGAGATCCCCAGGAAAACATCAAGCCCTGATGGCCCAAAAGAGAATGGAGTCACTGATCTGGTGTAAACCAACTGATATACCCAAGCACAAAAAGACCCTTGTACTAATATTGGGAACACATTTTTATCAATAAAATTTTAAAAACTTCTAATTGACTTCTATTGTTCAAGAGACAAATTATAAATTTCATAGTTTATATGTTACTTCTTCCTTCATACTTCGCATTGAGTTGAGGGTTGTTCCTCAAACCACTGTAAACTAGCTTTAGTTCTTATCCCGTATTGAAACTGATCTCATCACCAACAACATCAATATACAGTAACGATATAAAAAGTCAATGGTAAGCCCTTTTATTCAGCTTTTACTTTCACTAGACAGTATATGGAATTTAATACAACTGATCACTCTTAAAACTTTTTACTTAGATTTTGAGGTGCTACTCCTCCATAGTTCTACTATCCTATCTTCTCTGCTGCCTCTGCCAACTCTATTACTTCATATAGGTATATATGACTATATGTACATGTATATATGTTTATCAGTCCCCAGGGGTTCAATATTGTTTTCTGTCGATCTGTTTTTTTTTTTTTAATTTTGTAGATTCACCCTATGTGATTTCACCCGCTATCTAATATAGTCTGTGTACAGGCAGTATCAACTGCTGTATATATGTAGTCTGTGTAGGCAGTGGATGAACTCACCAAGGAAAATTCTGTATAACAGTTAAAAAGGGAAGGTAGAGGGAAAGAGGGACAGTAAGAGGGAGAACATACAATGATGAAATTCCAGGGACAGTATACACATAAATACATAGAGTGCATAACACTCAAATCTGTATTATCAGCCCAGATCTTTCTACTAAGCTACAGATCCATATTCATAAGTTGTTACTAGTCTCTGCTATCTGGCTCAAAGCATCTCAAATTCACCTCACATTCAACATGTAAAAACTGAACTCCCCATCTTTTCGTCCTCAAGTATTTACTCTTCTGCTAGGGATCCAACCATGTAACAAATGACCAAGTCAAAACTTTCCCTCTTCTATTTAACCCATACTAATCACAAAACCTTAATTTTTCTTCCAGGTATCTTTTGAATTTGTCCGCTCCTCTAATCTCTACTGTCCTTGTTTTTATTCATGCCCTCACCTCTTTCTCTGAACTGCTGCTATAGTCTTACACAAATCCCCTCCTATTATAGCACTTACAGTGGGTATTAATATTCTGTTATATCTCATTGTAAATTATAATAAAAACAAGGCATTCTTACAATTCTACCACCTGGACTAGGTATGTGTTTTGTGATCCTACTGTTTTGAGTCTGAGGAAGTTTTGATTCTGTTTATTAATATAACTATGTTACTGAAAATTATATAAACATCAACATACTTTAATAAAGTATTCGGAATGAATCTAACTCTACGAAGTCAGTTTCACCCAATTATCAGTTTTCTAAATGGCAATTAGCCTTGTCCAATTATATTCATATGCATTTTTACTGAACAAAAAGTACTTCCATTGGAATCAGTTAATATTCATATAGGTTCAATAAACAGAGATTCTACATTTAGACTTAGGGAGTTAGAAAAGGTTCTAGTGGGCAGCCCGGTGGCTCAGCGGTTTAGCACTGCCTTCGGCCCAGGACGTGATCCTGGAGACCCAGGATCGAGTCCCATGTTGGGCTCCCATGGAGGAGCCTGCTTCTCCCTCTGCCTGTGTCTCTGCCTCTCTCTTTCTCTCTCTCTCTGTGTCTCTCATTAATAAATAAATTTAAAAAAATAAGAAAAAAGAAAAGGTTCTAGCATTTGTTTGGTTGTCTGAAACATGGAACAAAATGTGGCCCACAGTGAGTGTACTGGAAATGCCAGATATGCCTTGGTTTAATGTAGAAGGGAAAAGTGATGACAAAGAAATTCAGGGAAGATGTAGACAGATCTCTTTGAATGGGCTAAAAAACATGAAGACATTTCTTTGTGCCCCATGGGAATGTTCACCAAAGGGTGACCTCAGCAAAGGATTTTAAAAATCAACTGGATAGGATGACCCACTTTGTGGGTATCAGTCAGCTTTTTTCCTCAGTCACCGATCACTGCCCAATAGACTTATGAATGAAGCAGCCATGGTGGGAGGGATGGAGGTTATGCATGGACTCAGCAACCTAGACTTCCATTCACCAAGGTTTTGGCCACTGCTGAGAGCCCAATGTGCCAGCAGCAAGGGCATCTTCAACCCTGAGGCCCTAATAAGACACCATTCCCTGGGATGACTAGCCAGCTATTTGGTGGCAGGTTGCTTACACTGGACTGCTTTTATCATGGAAGGGCAGCACTTTGTTCTTACTGGAAAATATACTTAGTCTAGATACAGATTTGTCCTCCCTGCACATAAATGGTTTTGTCAAAACTACTATCTATGGACTTACAGAATGCCTTATCCATTATCATGGTATTCCACAAAGCATTGCTTCTGATCAAGAAGTTCACCTAATATCAAAGAAGTGCATCAGTGGGCCCATGCTCATGGAATTCACTAGTTTTGCCATGTTTCCTAACATTCTGAAGCAGCTGGCTTGATACAATGGTGGAATGACCTTTTGAAGACCAAATTACGGTGCTAGCAAAATGGCAATATTTTGGGCTGGGGCAAGATTCTCCAGAATGATGAATGTGCTCTGAATCAGTGTCCAATATATGGTGCCTTTTCTCCCACAATCAAAATTCACAAACTCAGGAATTAAGAGGTGGAAATGAAGAATATGTGTGGAACACAGAAGATCCTTTAGAGTGTCTCTTAGCATTATCATGCCCTGTGATTAAGGTCAATGAAACATTAGGAAGGATTAATAATGGCCCAGACCCTTCAGGAATGAAGGTCTGGATTACCTCCCCAAAGAATCATGATCAGCTGATGTGCTTGTTGAAAGCAAAAGGAATAGAGTGGATAGTGGAAGATGGTAGTTATAGAAGCTATGAGTGTATGACAGAAATGAGGACTGTAATTGTCATGAGTATTTCCTTCTAATTTTGCTCTGAATATGTGTGTTTTCTTTCTTCCTTATCATATAAAATGTCTTGACTATATCCAAGTATTTATTGTTAGTTTTACATCATAGTATTTAAGTTATAGGATATCAAGAAAACATCACTGAAAGACTAACTTCTCTTCTGGGGAAGGCATTAGTGCATTTTCAGTTGTGCACAGGCTAATCATATCATGTTAGTCCAAATTATGACTTTGTTGTTGTCTTCATGTGGAGACTAAGTAGGTTTATATGGAGATGCACATGGTTGCCAAGTTGACAAGAGTTGGACTTAATGATGGTTAATTTTGTGTGTCAACTTAAATTTGGGGGCCCAGACTAAACATTATTTCTGGGTGTGTCTAAGGGTGTTTCCAGATGATTCAATAGATTGCCCTCTCAATG